AAAAAAGTTAATAGAAATTGTCCTTGAAAAAGGTAGCCTCAGTGGCTCAGTTGGTTAAGCATCTAAGTACTCATTTTGGCTCAGGTCATGATCTCACAGTCATGAGATCAAGTCCCATGTCCAGCTCTGCGCTGACAATGCGGATTCTCCTTGGGATTCTCTTTCTCCCTCTCTCTGCCACCCCATCAAAATAAATAAATAAACATTTTTTTAAAAAGATAGATATACTGGAAATATCTTCAAAACAATTGTCTTAAATACGTCCAGAGAACTTGTGGTAGGGTCCTCCTAAGGAAAAAAAAAAAAAAACCTCAAGGCAACCTGGCTATCCCAGTAGGTGACAACATCCCTCACGACCCTGTAACATGAGACCACTTAATCAGACTGCATGTTTGTGTGTTATGGGAGACAAAGAAGTAAAAAATATATTAAAAACTCGCCACATGGCATTTGGGGCTCAGTTCTTTGGGTATGAACACAACTGAGTGGTGCCTGCAGGAATAAAATTGCTTCCTGAAAAGAAAAGCCTTAGTGTCACGACTCTCTGTGTGAGAATCCTCCTACAAACTAAAGGAAGATGTAAAGTAAATAAAATGATACATGAACAAAAGGGAAACACCAACAAAGAGATAGAAACCTAAAAAGAAAACAAGAAAAGATTCTAGAGCTGAAAACTGCAATAACTGAAATTGAAAATTCACTAGAGGGATTCAGAGAGAGACTTCAGTAAACAGAATAAAGAATTAGCAAATTTGAAGATGGGACAATGAAAATTATGGGTATGAGGATGAGAAAAAAAAATAACTGAAGAAATGTGAGCAAAACCTAAAGGACCTACGGGATATTATCAAACAGAAAAATATATGCATTGTGGTAGTCCCAGAAGGAGAATAGAGAAAGGGGCAGTGGGAATATTTGAATAAATTCTGGCTGTAAACTTCCCAAATTTGATGAAAAACATAAATATAAATGTCCCAAAAGCTCAATGAATTCTAAGTATAAGCTCAAAGAAACCCACACCAACCCACATGGTAGTCAAACTTTCAGAAGGCAAAGACAATAAAAGAATCTTGAAAGAAGCAAGATAGAAGTGAATCTTCATATATAAGGGATCCCCAATAAAATTATCAGCAGATTTCTCATCAAAAACTTTGGAAGCCAAAAGGCAGTGGGTGGATATATTTAAAATGCTAAATGAAAAAAAAAATCCACCAAGAATACTATATCTGAAACAATTGTCCTTCAGAAGTGAGAAAGAAAAAAAAAAGGGAGACAGAAATTAATACATTTCCATATAAACAAAAGCTGAGGGAATTTGTGACCACCAGACATACTTGTCAAGAAATGGTTAACAGAGTCCTGCAGAGTGAAATGAAAGGACAGTAGACAGTAACTCAAAGCCATACAGAAAAATAAAGATCAACAAAGGTAAACACATGCAAGATTATAAAAGTTACTATTATTATAACAATGGTTTGTAATTGCACTTTTTGTTTTCCATATGATTTAAGAAACTAATATATTTAAAGAAAATTTGTTATTAATGTAAAAGTTAGTATTACTTTAACATTGGTTTGTAAGTCTAAATCATATTGTCTATATAATTTAAAAGACTAATATATTTTGGGGCGCCTGGGTGGCTCAGCTGGTCAAGCACGTGACTTGGGCTCAGCTCATGATCTCCCAGTTCATGGGTTCAAGCCCTGCATCAGGCTCTGTGCTGACAGCTTAGAGCCTGGAGCCTGCTTCAGATTCTGTGTGTCCCTCTCTCTCTCTGCCCTTCCCCCACTCGCACTCTGTGTGTGTCTCTCTCTCAAAAATAGATAAACATTAAACACGTTTAAAAAAAGACGATTTTTAAAAATCATTAGTTTATGTTTTAGGGCACACAAAGTATAAAGAAATAATTTTGTGACATCAACAACCAAAAGGAAGAGGGAACAGAACTGCAAAGGAGAATAGTTTTTGTATGTTATTGAAGTTAAGCTGATATAAATTCAAATTATAGTGTTATAATTTTTGGATGTTAAATGTAATCTCCAGCATACCCACAATGAAAATAGTTATAGAATATACACAAAAGAAATGAGGAAGGAATGTAAACATTTCACTACAAAAAGTCAACTAAAAAAAGAAAACAGTTATGTAGGAAATGAGGAACAAAAATAAGCTACTGGGTATGTAGAAATCAAATAGCAAGTGACAGAAGTATGTCCCTCCTCATCAGTAATTACTTTAAATGTAAATGGATAAACTCTCCAATCGAAAGACAGAGATTGGCAGAATGGATAAAAACACATGCAAGAGACTCATATGAGGTCCAAAGACACAAAGAGGTTGAAAGTGCAGGGATGGAAAAAGATATTCCATGCAAATAGTAATCAAAAGAGAGCAAAGGTAGCTTTAATAATATCAGACAAAACAGACTTTAATCAAAAAAGTTTATAAGAGACAAAGGAGGACAATATATATTAATTAAACTTTCAATACAACAAGAATATATAATAATTATAAACATTCATGTACCTAGTGACAGACCATTAAAATATATGAAGCAAAAATAGACAGAATGGGAGGGCAAAATAGACAGTTCCACAATAATAGTTGCAGACATCAATACCCCACTCACAATGTGGATAAAGCAATCAGAATACAAGTAATGAAATAGAGGATTTAAAGAACACAATAAGCCAACTAGATCTAATGGACATACACAGAATGGTTAACTTAACAATAACAGAATACACATTCTTCACAAGTACACATTGGACGTTTTCCAGATGATGCTAGGCCACAAATGGAGTCTCAATAGATTTAAAAGATGATGATATTCTGTAGCATTAAAAAGAATAAAATACTTAGAAATTAACCAAAGAGGTGAAAAACTTGCACAATGAAAAGTATAAAACCTTACTGAAAGAAATTAAAGAAGACATAAATAAATGGAAATTAAAGTGTCAATACTACCCAAAGTAATCTACAGATTCAATTCAGTCCCAAAAAATTCCAATGATTTCTTTTTCATACATAGCAAAGCTCATCAAAACAGTGTAGTACTGGCATTAAGACAGATATATTGACTAAACAGAATAAAATAGGGACTGCAGAAATAAACCCTCACATATATGTTCAAATAATTTTTGACAAGAATGCCAAGTCCATTCAATGGGGAAGGGACAGTCTGTTCAATAAATGGTGCTGGGAAAACTGAATATCCACATTAATTCAAAAATGGGTCAAGGACCAAAATAAGACCTAAAACAATAAAATTTCTAGAAGAAAATAGGACAAAAGTTTCATGACATCAGATTTGGCCATGATTTCTGATATGATATCAAAGGCACAGTGACAAAAGGAAAATTGGAGAAATTGGACTTCATGAAAATTTAAAAATATTCTGTATCAAAAGACACTATCATCAGAGTAAGAAGGTAACTCATAGGGGCACCTGGGTGGATTAGTTGGTTAAGCATCTGACTATGGCTCAGGTCATGATCTTGAGGTTCATGAGTTTGAGACCTGCTTTGGGCTCTGCTCTGGTGGTGCAGAGCCTGCTTGGGACTCTCTCCCCATCCCTCCACCCCCTGCCCATCCCCCACTTTCACTCTCTTGTCTCAAAATAAATAAACTTAAAAAAAAACCTCAATGACTTTCCATCTCTTAAAAAAAAAGGAACTCACAGAATGGGAGGAAATATTTGCTAATCATATCTCTGATAAAGGATTAATATCCAGAATATATAGAGAACTCCTAAAACCAACAACAACAAAAAAACCTGATTCAAAATGACTTGAATACGTATTTCTCCAAAGAAGAGATAAAATATGCTCACAAAAAGGGGTTCAACATCACCAGTTATTAGGGAAGTGCAAATCAAATCCACAGTGAGACACAACTTCATACCCATTAGGATGGTTACCATCAAGAAAACAGAAAAATGTGTGTTTGCAAGGATGTGGAGAAATTGGAACCCTTGTGCGTTATTGGTGGGAATGTAAAAATGTTTAGTCATTATGGAAACCGGTATGGTGGTTCCTCAAATAATTTAAAATAGGATTACCATATGATCTGATAGTTCCACTTCTGGGTATGTACTTTATATAAAAGAACCGAAAGCAGGGTCTCAGGTATTTGTACACCACTTTTCATAGCAAGATTATTCACAACAACTAAACTGTGGAAGCAGCTCAAGTATCCATCAATGGATGAATGGATAAGACTTAAATGTTTAGTGGTAAAAGGGGAAGACATTCTGCAATATGCTACAGTACAGATGAACTTTGAGGACATTATGCTAAATCAAATTAGCCAGTTACTGAAAGACATATACTGCACGATTCCACTTATTGGAGGAACATAAGAGTAGTCAAATAATAAAGACAAAAAGTATAATATACTTTTGTTCTTTTGGTAGGGGGTAAGGGAGAGTTACTGTTTAATGGGTATAGAGTTTGCGTTTCACAAGATCAACACAGGGGATGGATGGTGGTGATCATCGCACAATGTTACCGTACTTGACACCGCTTAACTGTGCACTTAAAATCATTAAGATGGTAATGGAAGAAACACCAAAAAAAAAAAGAAAAAAAAAGTTTTGCTGCCTCTTGGGTCTCGGCCCAAAAAGAACCGAGCAGGTTTCACGTGGTTGCGGTGCGGCCAAGGAGAGGGACAGAGCACTTGGTGAGGCCCCCACCCCTTTCCCCCTCAGGCCTCGCAGGTCCCGAGCACGGCCTAAGGTCATCTCCTCCTGTTCGCAAGCTCCCAATGGCCCCGCAGCGGAGCAAGGCAGAAGTCCGAGGGGCAGGCTAGAGGCAGCTCAGGTTCACAGCCAGCCCTGCGGCCCTCTAGCGGAGTGGAACGCTAGAGCCGGGCTCTCCCAGAAGCGGGCGGGAGACAGGGCCCCTCCCCTCCCAGCCCCATTTGCTCTCCCCCCACCCCCTCGCCCCCGCGCGCCCTCGCGTCCTCCGGCGCCGCGGCCAATCCGAGCCCGGCTCCCGCCTCCTACAGCAGGGCGGTCAGGTGGCAGCAAGGCGGCTGCGCGCAGAATCCGAGCTTTGTGCCCCGCGGCAGGTAAGGCTCCCATGGCGGAGTGGGGGTCGCGGGCAGCTTTGATAATGCCTTCGGGTTAGGAGCTTGGAGAGCGCGGCCCCCCGGAGGCCGGCGCCGGCCCTGCGGTCTCGGGCCCAAGCCCCAAACCGCAGGCGCAGCCTCAGGGCCTCCTATCTCGCTCCGCTGGGCCCAGAGGGAAGCTAGCAGTCCGGAGGCTTGGTGATCGCTACGAGCTCCCTCGGGAAGGGGCTTCCTCCAAAATGCAAGAGTGTTTAAAAAATCTGTATTTTATCTAAGAAGAGTTTATGGTTTCGGTTTTTACGTAGACTGGTGCTGCGTACATCTACTGTGTAGCCTAGGGGACTGAGGCTGAGCCAGTGGTTCTGTCGAGGCAGCTCCAACGTGGGGGAGACAGCTCGGCCCACAGGAGATGTGCGGGGCCGGGTTCTGCTCCTCGGGTACGAATCCTGCGCAAGCCCGGTAGCTACTCCTCGCCACACTTTCCTCTTGGGAAACTGGGAGGTATCAGGTATTTCACAGACCCCTGTGAGGGTTACGTGAATTAAGTGCGCTCTAAAAAACTAAGGTTGCAGCAGCAACAGGGTTAAATATATACACAGATATTTCGAAGTACTGATACCCTGAATTGTTTGACAAATAAATTAACGTAGTTTACGACAACATCACGTAGAATAGTAACACATAAATATAAAAAATAAATGACTAAGATACTGGGGACAGAGACGATGTAAGAAGAAAATAAGTCTGGGTGAAAAAGAAAGTATGTCAGTGCTGTCCAATAGAACTTTCTGTTGTAATGGAAATAGCCTATATTTAACATTTACATAGCTGTACGTGTCAAGTGGCTACCTTATAGCACAGGCAGGTCTATATTGTTTTGCGGGCTGAGTATCCTAGGACGGTTAACTTCAGTTACACAATTCTAGTCATTTGGTAGTAAAGCATGCTAGAGACTTCTTCCCACCTTCCCTCTGGCAACCACCGCTTTGTTTTGTGTATGTAAGGACTTCTTAAAATGTTAAAAACAAAAAGTTACTCCTACACGTTTTGCCTGTGTGGAAGCTCTGTGTTCCTTTGCCCACCCCCACTCCTCAGTTGTGCTGTGGTCAGCTCTTCAGTAGTTCATGGTTTCCTCCTACAGAAAGAACTAGTCTTTCAGTAAGAGGGAGTCAAGGTTCAGATCTTGCTGGGGGATCAGTGCCTAACAACATGTATCGGCCCAGAATGTCCTGATCTCAACCCGATTTTGAAACTGAGTTGCACATTGCTTGCAATTTGAATTAATAAGTCACTTAAAAAAAAAAAAAAAAACATGGATGTATCCTTACAAGTTTCAATACAGTAGACGTTTATTCCTTAAAAGTATTTTGACTTCTGCTATCTCCTTTCTCTCTTATTATATCAAGATCACTTTAAAGAAAAGGTAGAAAGTTTTGAAATGGTGATGAGGAATAGGAGGAACATTGAGCAGGAGGGGCAAGAAGGTGGGATGGGGAAGAGAGTGGCTTAGGTTTAGAGGGAGTGTTCAAGAAAGCTTCCCTGGTTCTGATAACCCAAGCCTTGTCCCAGTTTACTTGTGTACAGTTCTGCCCATGAGAGAACCAGGAGAGAAGCTAATTACCTCCATTTAACCAAGACAAACACTGAGGAAGCTAAGGCCAGAGGAGAAGAAAAAATAGAAGTGAAGTGGGTTAGAATTATAACATGTCAGCACTGAGAGTGTAGAGATCATCTAAGTTTGTGTAAAGTTCATCTGCCCCCTTTCCTTTCTTGTGGTGCAGAAACCAAGGCAGTAAGAGGCCATGTACATTGGCCTTGGTCAAAGTGGTAGTGGGTGCCCATGCCAGGTGTAGAATTCTGGGCTCTTGAGTCACAGGCAGGCTCTTATCCCCCAGAGGGATAACTTGTCTGTGTGTACCTCAGTGCCTCATATTTTGGGGTCAAAGCTCAAACTCCACCTCTGTTTAGTTAGTAGACCTGCCACAGTAGGGGAAAGGAGAAACCTAATTTAAATTGGTTTAAGAAGGTCTTTTATGCAAAAGTGTTGCCTTTTTTCTTTTTCTAGTGAACCACTGCAGCCTGAACTATCATTTGTTATTATGTGGTAATTCAGGAACTAACTCAAGATTCTTCTGTTTTGTAATTTTTCTTAAAGTGCCTGCTCCTAGACAGGCATACCATATATTTCTCGATGAGAAAACCTATTAATTCACATTAATTTAATTTATACGTTTGATGCAATGATAGGCACAATCCCAGTGAAATTGTTTTTTGTTTTTTTGTTTTTTTAACTTGACAAAGATATTCTAAAATTAATCTGGAAGTCCAAACAGGCAAGACTAGATAGGAATACTCTACAAGTTAATGAGAGAACTTGAACTGCCAGATAGCAAAACATTGTTAAGCCACAGTTATGTAAACAATATATTATAGGCATGGGAATAAAGGTCAGTGACACAGTAGAGGAAGTGAAAAAAAGAATAACTGTGTTCATAAAAAGTTATGTATGAGTCATTGGGGGAAAGGATGAAATATTCAATTAATGATTTGGGAACAACTCAACTATTTGGGGGAAAAGTATAGTTAGAGTCTTATGCCATCACCACAATACTATTTAGATTGATTAAAATATAAAAGTATAAAAGAATTAAAAATCAAGGAAATAAGAATGTGTCTATAAGTATTTCTAAATATAATACTAAAAGTCAAAAACTTAAGTTTTTTTGGCCCAACTTAAGTTGGACCATTTAAATATTAAACCCTTGAAATAAACTAGCAAACAAACCTAAATCTTCTTGTTATAGGATTAGGTCTTAGATATTTAAGAATATATTAAAATATAGAATAAAATTCTCCCTCGGTTCTTTTCAAACCTTAACTAGTCTTGGCAAGACAGTGGGGAGGAAGAGAGAGCTGTGTGATGAGCAGGGAAGATGTGGAAAGGCAGAGCCAGATCTCACCTGGCCAGGGTTCTGCCTCCTGATAGTGCCATCTTAAGGGGAGTTGAAAGCTCGATGGAAAAGAGCATGGGAAGGATCCCTCAGTTGAATGTGCTTTATACATGACAGTGCTGTTCATCCTAGGTGGTAGATTGCTAATGCCTAATGCAGTAGATTTGTAAGTGGGATTGTTTCACACATGTGCATTTCTCCAAATCATTTTTTGTTTGTTTGTTTTCTTTTGTTTTGCTTTCCCAGATTCTTTGGGGAAGCAGTCGAGTTTATTAACAATGTTTTGTAGACATTTTTTATAGGAAAACTTTCCTGGAAGTTCTCATGTGAGGAGCAAGTAGTAGCAATGTTTCTATGAAGACAAAGGACTTAGGGCAGTTTAATTTCTCTTGAATATGATTTGGGGATTGGAGACAAATTGGAAGCAGTGGAATGGCTATGTCAGAGGTTGCCTGAATTTAGATTTGTAATAGACATTGCTAAGCTGCCCACTATGGAGATGATACCCATCTGTAGTCCCCCTGATATTGTCAGAGAGTCTATTCCCCACACTTTGACCACTGCACTGTGGCAAACATTTTGATCTCTGACAGTCTGATAGAGCATCAGAAATAATTGTGAAATAATAATTTGCATTCTGTGATCATGACTGACTGAGGTTGAGCATTGTTCCACCTATTTTAAGAGTTATCTGAATTTCCTTTTGTGGAAATCAGAACATTTTAGAGCTAGAACAGACCTTAGAGATGAAGTCCAGCCACACAGCCTACGATGAATCTGTTTGGACATGGCTGCTTGGCTAGCCTATGACTGAAGCAGGGCAAACACTCATTCTCCTGTTTGTCATAATAGCTGTCTGACAGAGTCTGTAAAGTTCTCCGGAGCACTCTGGAATTTGGCTCTAGAACCAGAAAGTCTGAAAATTACAGTGCAGTGCTACAGTGCCTTGACTGTGAAAGACCAAACGCTTTTACCCACCCTGCACTTCAGGTATCTCATCTGTAAAATGGCGTTAGTGTTGGCCTTTTTGTCAAGGGTTTTATGGGTTAGTGTGAATATAAAGTAGTTGACACAAGTAAGCTCACAACTGTTATTATCCTCATATTTTTGCATTTTGTTATCTGGCTTTTCCACTCACATGTAAGCTGTAAGCAGGCTTAGACTAAAGTTGTTAAGAACATAAGTAAAGCACAATAGAGTTTAGGATAGGGCATCTATGCAGGGGAGGGCAACCAAGTGTGTTCTCTGGGGAGTCCCTGTGGTCAAGACTGTTGCTTAACACACATCCTTGCCTTAGTTTTGGCTTTTTTCCCTGACTTTGTTATCAGTGTGTTAGTCATACCTCTGAGATATTTTATGCACAAGATATCACACCTATACTGACTCCCTGAGATCTGAGAAGAAAGCTTACCCACTTTGTCACTTCCTGCTTTTTAGGGTTTGTCTTCTAGCAGTTCCCTTTTTCATATTTTTTCAGGAAACATGAAACCTCCAGATTATTAAAGGAAAGATTGCATATGTGCAGGCTAGGTTGGGTCATGAGACCCGATCTCAAAACAGGAGGAATGAGAAGAGAGAAGGGAGGGGAATTACTGAAAATGGGTTATTTTCTTTTTTTTTTAAATTTTTTTTCCAACGTTTTTATTTATTTTTGGGACAGAGAGAGACAGAGCATGAACGGGGGAGGGGCAGAGAGAGAGGGAGACACAGAATCGGAAACAGGCTCCAGGCTCTGAGCCATCAGCCCAGAGCCCGACGTGGGGCTCGAACTCACGGACCGCGAGATCGTGACCTGGCTGAAGTCGGACGCTTAACCGACTGCGCCACCCAGGCGCCCCTGAAAATGGGTTATTTTCAACACACAGCCTAGGTGACCTCCCAGGTGTTCATAGGATTGTCAGGAGTCAAGTGTTTTTGTTTTTGTTTTTTTAATTTTTTTAATGTTTATTTTTGAGAGAGAACACGCTCGAGCTAGTTGGGGGGAGGGCAGAGAGAGAGGGAGACATAGAATTGAAGCAGGCTCCAGGCTCCAAGCTGTCAGCACAGAGCCCGATGTGGGGCTTGAACTCCAACCGAGAGATCATGACCTGAGCAGAAGTCAGACACTTAACCAACTGAGCCACCCAGGCACCCCTGTTTTTGTTTTTTCAAATAATTGATGTTATTATTTCATTGTTCTTATTCATGGTTATCATCACTGTGCTCAACTCTTTCTATATTTTGAAAGAGGACAAGATCAAATTCAGGGATGGGTCCAAGGATTGAGGCTACCATGGCCTTTTCTTCCCAGAGGACTTGGAGAGCCCTCCTTCTCCTCCAGCTCTGAGCAGTCATCTGCATTGGCGTCCTGGACATCCCACGCAGGTAGAGGGGCTAGAGAGGCTTTAGCTCTTTGTCATTTCTGGTTACCCAGTCACCCTGCCATTGCCTGCCCAAGTCTTAGTTGAAATAAAGTGGCAATTCTAACAGCTCTGAAAAACAAATGAAAAAGTTAAGTTTTATAGGCCTCTCTGTTCTAGTGTTTCTCCAAGTGTGGCTGTCTGACCATGTGTGCATGATCTCTTGGATGACTGTTGAAAATACCCGATTTTTAGCCTCCCTTCCCCTGTAGACTTCCTGAGTCAGACACTGGGGGTAGAACCCAGAAATATGCATTTTCAACAAGCAGTCCTTGGAGTACATTAAAGTTTGGAGCCACTATTATTCTGTACTAGTTTTTTATTTCTTTTCCTTCTCTCTCCTGTTTCTCCTTCCCGTCCCTTTTTCCTTCCCCATTTCTTCCGACTCCTGATGACTTGTTTGTTCCTTCCTTCCTCCTCCTTAATGCTGCAGGTTCAGATTAGCCTATCAAACTGTTCGTAATAAATTTAATCCTTTAGAAAGTCAGCTGGGAGGAAAAAAAAAGAAGTGTGTATTTCCTGCTGCCCTGCTTGTCTCCATAAAAGAAAGGCAGACCCGAAGCTATCCTCTCCAAGCACTAGCTTTGGGACAAGCATTATTCTTTTAAGTACACATGGCATTGTGTTTACAGTCCTTCATCTAGTATAGGAGGTGTGCCTGGGGGTTGGAAATGTCCTTCTTCAGAGAAACATCACGGGCATGACATCTCAGGGGAGTCCACCACCAGCAGCCTCAGAATCAGACACTGGCCTGGGTCCCCTTACTGGAGGGCTCAAGGTGGTGGAGGCATTTGGGGAAGATAGGGCCAGTGGACAGTAAGTAGTGTGGGAGAGAGTGGGGTGGCAGCGGGGAGTGTCTGCCTGGAGTGTGGGGCAGGTGTCATCTGAGTCCTGACCTCTGCTTTTGTCTTCACAGCCACTGAAGGAAGGGACCAAGATGAATGCAGAGGTAAGTTCTTTAAAAGGACCAGTTTAAGGAATGCTTTTCTTGCAGTATTCCTCATTTCTCTTTCACAGAGTGTCTTGTCTCCCTAGAGAGCTTTCAGAAACATCTGCACAAACTTGAAAACATTTCTCCTCCAACCTGCCCACGTGCACATGGCTCTGGGTGATATAGGAGGAATTAGGCTCTTCTGAGTTCTTATCTGTGTCTGTCCAGCCTCAGTTAGATTAGAATTTATCTATTGCAGTTAATCCTGAAACAACAGTCAAGAGCTAGGCATGGAGTGGACAGCGGGGCAGCGTTGGGGTGCTGGGCCTAGAGCCCTGCTTTGTGTTATTCTGGGGACACTTACTCTCTGCATTGTCTCCTGGGGGTTCTCCATTCCACTGTCCCTGTTCTTTGATCTGGTGAGATGTCTAGTCACTTGGCTGTTTTGTTCTTTTTCCTGACTAACCAGCTTCTTCCTGTCTTTACTCCTTTCCAAGCCACTGAATTGTGGGGTTCATCTCTTCAACCACTCTTGGTCTTATGTCCCTAACTTTTCTTTTCCTCTTGTCCTGTTGATCCACCAATCCAAACCCAGGACAGTGGTCTGAGGTGAGTGGTATAGCTTCATGCTGTTTACAGCTTGCAGCTATCTCTAAACCCTCAAGTGGGTACTCAGCACTGCCAGCCTGGCCCCCATGTAGCTGCAGGAGGCCCCCTTTCCCATTGCCCTGGATGGCCAGGTCCAGTGTTCTCACCCTTCCCTGCTCTCTCCTTACTGTTAGCATCTGGACCACCTTTTACCTTACAGAGAAAAATTAGAACCATCAGACATCATCTCTCTCAATTCCTACCTTCCCATTTGTCTTACTGCTCTTCTCACAGTGGAAGGGATGTCTGTCAGTGAGAGAGCTCCAGGCTGTGAGCATAGGAAAATCCAACTTCACGTGTTTTTTTATCTTGGAAGTCCAAATGGAGGGCAGGCTTCAGGGCTGGTTGATCTGGTGACTCGGCAATCTTGAGGATCCAGGATCATTTCACTGTTCTGCTTTTTATCCAAGTGTTAGCTTTATCCTAGAGATGGTTCCCCTTATGGTTATGGGATGGCTGCTAGTTAACCCGTTGAGGCTACATGCTTCCTCATTCACTTTGAGCAGGAGAAAGAGATAACTTCCTGTGGCTCTCCCAGAAAAGTAGGAATTTCTTTTTTTTTTTTTTTTTTTTTTTTTTGAAGTCCTACCAAATGCCTCCTTAGGTTTTATTAAGAATTATGTCACATGCCCACTCCTGGACTAATTATTGGGTTAGAGGAACCAAGATTTTGCCAATTAGCTTAGACTAGTCAGGCCTGCCCTCAAGCAGTTCCCCACCCCATGCTTTGGCTGGATATAGAAAGAAAAAAGGGAACCTATAGTATCTAGTCCAAGACATTTCTGTTGTCCCATGAGACCCCTGTCCATACTCTGAATTGCAAATTCTGCTGCCTCTTCAGACCTCTTATGGCTTCCCTAGTTATCTCCCTTACCACCTGCATTATTAACCTCATTTCTACTAATTCGTTCCCATTAATATTTCAAAATGCCTTAGTTTTTACTTTCTTCAGAATAAAATAACACATGATATCTTGTCAAGCTACTGTAATCTTACTGTTCTCAATCTCTTTCAAAGGGAGGCTTGAAAGAGATGTCCATGGGTAATTTCTCCATTTTATTGCTCTCTCCCAAATCATTCTCAACCTGCTGCAGTCGGGCTTCTTTCTTACCATTATACAGAAATTCATCGTAAATAATAATTTTTAAAAATTATTTTTGTAGTAACGTCAATACAAACACCTAGTACAAAACTCAAAAGCTACAAAATGATAAAAGTCAAAAGTAAGTCTCCCTACTGCCTGATCCCCTGGCCTTCCTCACTTCAGGGCTGACTTCTCTTAACCACTTTCTGGTGCCTCTGACCCCTTATTGTGAAACCCCTGTGACTCACTTAAATTCTTATGGTCTTAGGAGTCCTGAAGAAAAAGTAGGAACTTTGCATTAATATTAAGCCTAAAATGCCTGGCCCAGCAACAGTGGCCTTTTGCTGTCAACCTTTGAAAACATTCCTAGACCTTGGATTCCCTTTAACTATCTTCCCTTCTCTTCTGCCTTAAACACTCATGGTTCAGCATCTGTGACCACTTCCTCGCTTTCCTTTTATGTCAGTCTCATTGCAGTCTGACATGGTTCTCACTGTTCCACCAGAACTTTACAGCTGAAAGTCACCAGTAGCTCATATTGCCAAATTTTGTGGAAACTTTCTTCTTGAGGCATTTGACACTATCGGCCATGTTCTTGCAATGTTCCCATGATATCTCAGGATTTCTTCCCATCTCTCTGCTCACTTCTTCTCATACTTTTTCTTAGGCTTCTCTTCTGCCTGCTTCTTAAAACTTTGCATTTCCCAGGACACTTCTCACCCTACCATTGTTCTGGGCTGCTCATCCAGTCTCACAGATTTTATTGATCAGATTTAGGAATGCCCCAGATGGATCTGTTCAACCAGATCCTACTCCTCAACGTCAAATCCATCTATCTGGAAGCCTGGATTGCTCATCTTCATTGAGAGGTGCCACAGGCACTCCCAGCTCAGTATCACCCAAGCTGGACCTGCTGTTTTTCACCTGACCCACGTAAGCTTCTCTTAATGGGGCCCTGTACGGAAGGGCACTAGTGCTGTCCATTTCCATGGCCTAGAAGCCTGACATCCTCCTAACTCCTTTCCCACACTCCATCCTGTAAATCCTGCTCTTTTCTTTATTTTGATCTAAAATTTATGAAACAGTACATTGTACCAGACTCTACACTTGGCTTTATGCCTATAATGGTAAAAAATACAGATGTGGTACTTGTACTCATGGAATTTGCTGAGAAGTGAGACCATAATATCTTTCACATCTGCCCTTTTCTTGCTTGACTTTCTGCCTCCTTATCACTTCCTCACTTCTATATTTATTCTCCTTTCCATTTTTTTAAATGTTTACTTATTTTTGAAAGAGAGTGAGCACATGCACACAGGTGGGGGAGGGTCAGAGAGAAGGGGACAGATGATCCGAAGTGGGCTCTGTGTTAACAGCAGAGAGCTCAGGGCGGGGCTCAAACTCACGAACCCTGAGGTCATGACCTGAGCTGAGGTTGGACACTTGACTGACTGAGCCACCCAGGTGCCCCACTGTCCCCTCCTTTTCTTACCCTCTTCTAGGTCTTTTGAGGGGCAGAGGAGGAGACCTTAGGCATAGAACAGACTTCTCAGCCTCTGTTTGTGACATGTTGTCTTTGTTGGTCTGTGCAAGGCTCCTCTCTTGTATGTATGTTCTCATTCCTTTTGGTCTTCATCCCCATTCTCACCCTCAAAGACAGCTGTTCTAATGTATTCAATGATTGTCTTCTTGTTTTCATGTATTTAGGAAACTATATGTCACTGTCTTTGTATAAATACCCTTCACATTTACATTTGGTGAGATTAGCTTTTTAATTTTTTTTTGGTGTACAGTTCTGTGAATTACCACAATCAAGATTTAGACCCTTACTCCAAAATATTCCTTTCTGTTGTTGCTCCTTTGTTTGTCACAGCCTTCCCACCCCTAACCCCTGGCAACCACTGTGTAATACACTTTTAATTTTAGTAATTGTATTATGTTACAGTTTATATCTAGTTCTCTTTCTTTTTTTTCTACTCAGCACTACATTTTCAAGATAAAACATATAGTTAATCTGTTGCACAGTATCCCATGATATGCATCTGTTTAATCCTAACAAGACACCTAGGAGCAAGATGCTATTGTCTCAGTTTTGTAGATGAGGAAAATGAGGGTTAAGTAAATTGCTCAAGTCACAGGGTATTGGGGGCCGAATGGTGATGCAAGCCCTGATGTCTCTGACTCCATGAATGTCTTTCTTCTTGTGTATATTCAGCTAATCCTGTCCATCCAGTTCAAATGTTGTTACTGTTGCATGAAAAGTTTCTCAGGGCTTTCTCTCTAGAAGTGGTATCTCCCTCTCCTTGATTCTCATTGCTCTTTACTTTTTGGTTACTTTCCATTCTCTGACCTCAAATATAGCTGTCTGTGTATCTTGTTCACCTTAGTATACCCACAGCATCTGGCATGATGCCTCATACTTAGTTTGTCCTCACCAAGTGTCAGTCATCATTTAGTTAAATGATCAGATGGTTCAGAAACTGTTCAGTAATCCTGTAATGCAATCCAGAACTTGGGTGGGTTAGAGAAAATGTAGAGGAAGGAAATCATATGACAGAAAATTTCAAGGAAAATTTGCTGTGATTCAGAGTCTGGCTGGAGTAAAAGGGCGGAGAAAGATTGTCAGCCTCGGCGAGCCCTTGGATCTCAGAGGAACTTTGCTGAGTACATGAATGACTCCCAGGATTTTGAGCATTTCAAGCTGGGTGCCTGATAGAATTCGTAGAGCCATTGGCATTTGCCCAGAATTTCAGAGCATAGCCAGTCAGGTAGAGTGGATGGCTGGCATCTAGCACAGAGCGGGATGATCCAGGTCAGAATGAGATGGTCAGGTGGAAATTGTAAATGCCCAGTTGGCATTTCTTCTTATGATTGGAACTTGGAGGAAAGCATGGCTCACAGCTCAGGATGTTGGAGTCTTCAGCATAAAAGTGGTCATGGTGAAGGGACTCCCCCCTCCCCCAACCTCTGGGAATATGGGGAAGAGAGGAAAACAGAGGGACAAGGATTGAGTGCTGGGAATTATGCACTTCCAGGGGGCAGGGTGAAGAAGGAAAGTGAAGTATGAAAAGAAAACCTCAGTATGAGGTGAGAAAAACCAAGAAAGGAGGGAAGGTCCATTTGAATTTTAAATAGGTCTGAGGTCTAGGGGAATTCAGCAGAGAAAAAGCCCTTGAATTTAGCAACGAGAAGGTCTCAGATCTGTGAAGAAGCAGAGAAGCATTGAAAACCAGATTACAACTGGGCCAGAAAGTATGGGTGGAAACAGCAGTTGTGAGGAGTCAGA